ATCATCCGACCAGATGACACTGTTACTTGTGATCCATGGGTTGGAAAAACAAGGAAACCTTTGCACCTTTTTTTATTTTTTCGCGGATTGAAGAAGACAAAAACAATTGTTCTTTTCCTTCCGGAAGCATTGCCGCAGCATCTTTTTAATCAGTAGGTTGAACCGATCCGTCACTCTCTTTTATCCCTGTCCAAACGACCCATCTGATAGAAAAACGGCGCGGCAACTGACGGATAAAGGGATCAGAGGGGAAGGAAAACTGGGGATGAGTTTGCAGGGAGGGATATATAGAAGGATGAACAAAAAACGATTGGAGGAGAGCTTTCCAGGGAGGCCCTGGTAAGTATTACTAGGGTTTCCTTCGAACTGTAAAGTCGCTTTTTTTTTACAATCGCCATTAGAACCAAAGAAGGTTTTATCGAGTTCAATAGCTCTTAAAATTCTTGAGGCTACCCCGAATCAGAACCAAAGTTTGTGACTTTGCGGGGACTCTGATTTTGGGAAAACTGGGGATATATGTATATGAAACTGTAGCGAAAAAATTCTCTATCGAATGGTATTAATTTCATATAGGGTTGTCCCAGAAAGCTTTTCTCAAAAATGGAAAAATTATTATTTTTTTAGTACTACGAGCTGCAGATGTTAAGCTTTTTCGTGCTGATTTTCTGAAACAACCCTATATGAAATAAAAATCATTTGATAGAAAACGTTTTTCTCTATAATTTCATATATCTACATCCCCAGTTTTTCCAGAATCAGGGCCCCCGTAAGGCCGCAAACTTTGGTTCTGGTTCGGCAAGTTCAGATTCGGGGTATTCTCCTTTTTTCCAGGCTTCCGTATGATATTTAGGCGTAGTTTTCCAAAATCTTGAGCCAAGATTTTTCCAGTTTTTGTCTGAAACTTTTTCCCACCAACTTTCCCAAATTATCCACCCCCGATCATCATTAGTTTCCTGTATTCCACCCCCTCTTCTTCCCGAAACCACTTCCTCTGACGCTCTTCATGTTCCGCCCCTTCCCCCCTCCATATGCTCCGCCCCTTTCTTTGCGTCACAAAGCCGCTACAACAAGTCCGGGGGGCTCTCCCTTTTTATCTAGCTTTTTTTCATTTCTAGCTTTCTACATTTTTGGGAATAACGCATCGACCTTAAAGGCGCTTGCTATAACAAAAAATTTGTTCCCAAAAATAAAAAAAAAGTTTGGTCACACATTTTTTCGATTAATAATTCTTGTTTGTTTTCTCTTTTTTCTGGTCATCATCATGTGTACTTTATGGGGCACAAAAAATGGAAAACATGTGCCCCAACTTTCTTTTTGGTCAAATTTGAAATGCATGCGGGTTTAACCGATTTTCTCTCACAGGAGAGAGGGAAAGGGTTGTCATTCATTCATGATTATTTTTTATTTCTTTTCCCTTTGCTCCTTACCGTTTTGGCTATTTTTACCTTGAAGGCGCAGGGCTCTTTTTATTTTTCGTTGAAAAAAAATTACTCCAAAAGCACAAATTTTCACCCTGCCAATTTGCGTTTTCGAATTGCTTTCTAGGCTCCGCCCTCCCCCCCCTCCCTCTGTGACGTAGTGGGCGTGGCTTACAAGTTCTATATATTTACTTATCCCCCCTCAGGTACTCATTATTATTATTGTTACGAAACAAGAAATGGTGACTCAAGCGAGTTAACGTCATTAAAGGCGCATGACATTTTTTTTCTGTGTTCCGGAAATTGGAAAGGAACTATTTTTGAACTTTTTAGGCCGGAAATTTGAATATGCGCGTGCGCGCTTCCTTCAAATTTTTTATACTTTGGTCTTAGGATAAGGAAAATCCACTTCTAAGCTCCGCCCCCTTTTATCATCATTCATCAAAATATCACTAATGTTGTTTCCAGTGAGTGTGTCAAAGTAAACACACCCTCTTCACATTTAGGCTCCGCCCACTTTTCTTTCTAAGCTGTCGCGGCTCTCAGAGAAGAAAGAGAGGAAGAGATTGACAAGATTATCACATGTGGATTCTTTATTTTTGGTTTTGACTGGAAGGGGTGATAGTCTAAAGAAATTTAAGGTTAAAGTTTAGGTGGAGCCTAAGCGCTCAGACCCTTGTAGGAGGGTATTTCGCAACTAGACGTTTCGAAACTGTGACGTTTCTCAACTGGTATAGGATAGATCCAATCTCAAGCGTTTTATCGGTTGCGAAACGTCATAGTTGCAAAACGTCAGGATTCGAAATGTCGGGGAGCCTGGAGCCTAAAACCACAGACTTCGGATTTTCAGTTCAGCCTAAGCCTGAGGTCCCTGATCCATTTGAGCCTAAGCCTAAGCCTAAGGCCCTTGTTTCTGCTAAGCCTAAGCCTAAGGTTCCTGTTTCTGCTAAACCTAAGCCTAAGGCCCTTGTTTCTGCTAAACCTAAGCCTAAGACCCTTGTTTCTGCTAAGCCTAAGCCTAAGACTACTGTACCACCCCTCCATCCTTTCTGAAAATCACTCTGAAATTCTATTGTTATTTTCTTTTTCACACTTTCTCCTAGCCTCCTATTGTTCTGTTCCTTCCCTTCTCAAATTTTTTTGTGTGTGCTTCATTTTTATTTTTATTTTCCACCTTTTCTCACTCTTCCTTATATCCGATTTCTTTTAACACAAAAAATTATTTTTCCAGACTAGAAAAAAACTTCCGCCCCAAACAACAAATCATGGGAAACGCCAAGTCAACGGATTCGATTCCAAAAAAGTCGACGCAACGTCGGAAGTCGGCGACGACGCCCAGTACTAGGTCAGTCAAAATGTGCGTTTTTGCTTTTTTTTTTAGATTAGGATTTGATTTTTTGAAAATTGGGCTCAGGGAGAGGGTTTTAGGTCTGATAGTTATTAGGACTGGAAAAGTTAGCCTTAGAAAATTCAGGCTTAGGAAACTTGGGCTTAGAAATCTTGAACTCAGGAATCTTAGGCTTGGACTTCTCAGGCTTGGAAATTTCAGGCTTAGAAAATTTAGGCTTAGAATATCTAGGCTGAGAAATCTTAGGCTTAGGGAATTTCAGGCCTGGATACATTAGGCTTAGGTTTCTTAGGCTTACCTTCTCAGGCTTAAAAATATTAGACTCAGGAATCTTAGGCTTAGGAATCTTAGGCTTAGGTTTCTTAGGCTTAGACACCTGCGGCTTAGATTCGTTACGCTTAGACTAGACGTCTACTCTCTTTTCCGCCTCTCAAGGCTTCTTAGGCTTAAACCTAGGCTCCCCAGACATAGGCCTAACTTCCCAACCTCAACCTTAGATCAGAAGATTACTCACATAATTTGTCCACCAGGTGTAACTTGTTACAAACCACTTCATCCGTTCGTTCCCCCTCCAGCACTAAATATCTCTGATCTCCAATTTCATTTTCTCTGCCGTCTCTTCTCTCCAATTTTATTACAAAGTGCTGATGCACCAGCCACCACCACTGTTATTTTTATATATCTGTGACGTAGAAATTACAATGAATCTCATCTCTGGAGCCGCAGGGGGGAAGAGCCCCCTGCTGGGAGAAAGATGAGTGGGAGAAGAGGGACATGATCTCATCAAAGGCCAGATACATGAACTTTGTGGGAGGGGGGGTCTAGACGAAGCCTGAGGGAATGCTTTGGAGGTGTCTTCTGAAAAAACTCTCAAGAATCCTGAGCCCTTTAACCTACAGTAACCGCTTTGCTTTGTCATTGGCATCTAACCACCTAATCTGACTGTTTCTCCATCTTCAGATCTTCAAGCAGCAGCTCCCGCCCGTCGATTTCATCGCAGGGAAATAATAACAACAAGTTACTCTCGCACAGTCAGAAGCAGATTGTCAGAGGATGTATGGATAATTCGAAGGATGATCTAGGGGAGAGAATTGTTCGCAGAGCGATGGAGAGACGTGATGATTTCAAACAGTTTATTGAGAATTTGAGCAAGGTAAGCGATTTTTGGAAAGGTAGATTTTTTCGATTTTTGAGCGATCATGACTCAAAAGGGGGTGGAGCTAGGGACCCCAAAATTGTTTGCATGGGTTCCGGACGATCCTCTATCGATCCGTGATAGTTTGGCTCTATTTTGTGAGCAAGCTCTATTTTCCAAAGCCCCAATGGCGCGGGCTGAAGCCTGCGCCTTAGCCTAAGGGTCTGAGCTTGGGCACCCGTTTCAGCTCAAAAAGAACTGGCTGAGATTATTGCCTACCTTGAAGCATAGACTTTGCAAGAGGTAGTACAAGCCTGACTCCTCACAACCTGATTTGGGCTTACGACTTATCCTACGATCCAGCCTAGGCTCAGCCTATCATTCTGAGCTAGAATAAGGCTATGCCAATATCTTCAGAATCCATATTCAATAAGCATCAAGAGAAGGCCTAATCTGAATCGGATGAAATTTTGATTGAGCTCAAAAATGCCATCCATGCATCTTCCCAGCCTATGAAACCTCTTGAAACTTCCAGGTCCAACGCTACGAGAACTCCAACTACCTGAAACAATTCCTGTTGGGAATCGTCGACAATTTGACAGATATTGAGGAGATTAACAGGTAAGATTGACTGAACATTGAGCTCAGGCTCGAATCAAGGTCACCAAGATTCAAGTCAGTTCGTCCCAACCCTCACCCATTTCATGCCTTTCCAGACTAGCCGAAGAGTTCGGCTGTATCCATGTGCAATTCCGTGCCAACGGCTTCAAACCAGACTTCTTCGCGTGCACCGCCGACGCAGTCACCACCGAATGCACATTCCTCGATCAGGCCGCCCATCCGACAAGTGAGACGGCGTCGGCGTGGTCGATGCTCACCGCGCATATCTTCTCGAGAGTCAGAGATGGGTAAGTGATATTTTATTGATAAGGTTATGAGTTGGGAGGGGATTAGCCATGAGATTAGAGGTTGAAGATCGGAAAATCAAAGTTCCCCAATGCGCCGGGGGTCTCAAAACATGGGCGAAGCCACAAGAACATCACAGTCAACACATAAACAAACAAACATGTATATTCCCTCTCTAGCATGGGTACTCACCGCCCTTATAGCTCAGTGGTAGAGCGTTGGTCTTGTAAACCAAAGGTCCGTAGTTCAATCCTGCGTGGGGGCAATTTCTTTTTTATTTTTTTTTTTTGAAAGTGTGCTCTACTGTACAAGACCTTCGACGCGCAATTATAAAAAATAAATGTTTTCGGCGCTTTTTTCGGCGCATATTCTGGAAAATCAAAGTATAAGGTGTTCCGCTCTGAGAAAATTCAAACCGGCATCGACAAGCTTTCCAATAGACTTAAAACAAAGTAGCCATCTGCTATACGAGGCTGATTGTTGATCGGAAATTAGTTTACTGATTAAAGGCGCCTTACAACTTCCTGTACACCCATCAAGGTCTTTTTTCCAGCTACTACGCCGAACTTCGTCGTCAACGAAAGTCGAGCAACGCGTTCCGCGCCCGCGCATCCGTTGACGTCGTCTCGACAGGCACCGATGACGGAACGAGTCTCTCCAGTGCCACTAGAAGGTCCCTCCCTATCACTCCTACCTGTCATCAACTAATCCTAACGTAGTTTATAGATCTAACTCGCCCCAGGAAGAAATTGCCGAAAATTCCGAGGGAGATAATAATGGCACCACCAATCAATCGTCCGGAAACTTTCTCGCTCCACCAGAGGACAAAAATTTCTAGACGATTCTATATAATCTTCCTGATCAATTTCTTCTTCTTGTACAATTACATTTTTTCCCCTGTCCCACTAAAATCGCATGCATCCTTCCTTACCCTCTCCAATTCGCCTTTTTTCACCTGTTCAAAAAAAATAATCGATAATTCCCAGAAGGACTACTGTCGATTGTACTCCCACACTCCTATTTATTTGGTCTACACACATCCACCCTTCCCTCCCAGTGTCCCCTCACTCTCCTATATTCTTTTGTGATACATGGGTATTGATTTTTCCTTTTTTCCTTCGTTTTGTTTTTTGAGGGTCTGCGACGTTTCAAAACTGGGTCGTTTTGAAACTAGGACGTTGTGAAACGTCGCGGAGTCTTTTTTTCCAATAATTCCTCAAAATGTTTTCTTCAACTCCTTCGATATATAACGCTCTGTTTTTGCATAATTATACACTGAAAAAAAAACCGATGAATACATTTTTTTGAAATTCAAAAAATCAAACAACTTAATTGCAGACAGAAAACTGTTTCAGGCTGCCAAAATTTTGGAAAAACAGGTAGCTCAGCTATCACTATTGCATTTTAGAAACATAGGAGAAGCATTTCTAGCTTCAAAAGTCATTTTCAAAGTTTTTATGTCCCTTTGAATTTTGTATATACTCTTCAAATGTTTACTAAATATTAGAAGCCCATTTCTCAAACTTTCAGATTTGGGACTACAGGACGGGTCAGTTGGTGGTAAGGATTCACCTCATCTCGAGATATCGACAAGTGTACGATATTGCGGGGTCACCTCGTTGCGAGCCGGGAGAAATCGCGTCTTGGGTAAGTAGAATGCTTTAGCTAGTTTGTCCGGATATATGGATGTCCAATTGTTGGCAGAAAAATTCACGTTAACAGTGTTTCTTGTTAGGAATTTAACAGGGTTTCTTGTTCTGAATTCAAGAACTTCTGGTTCCGTTCAATTGTTTATTGGTTTTCGTTCAGTTGTTGATTGACTCAAAATACTACTGTAACGTCCTGTTGTCCGGATGCCCAAAGTTTCGTATTTACTCCCAGCTGGTTTTTTAAAAAATGTTTTTGAGTTGAAAAAAATCAAAAACACTACGTGCCTTTGAGTATTTTGTTCACTGCTCAAGACCTAATAAAATTTGATTCCAAATTTTCTTCCAGTTTATTCACCAAATTTTAGGCCTAGAAGATTTGTCATCGATAAATGGAGTAGAGTCGGTCACCTTCTTGCTAGCCGGAGACGGATTTCACCATCGTAGGCAAGCGATAGCTTTTCCTGTTCACCTAGATATCTGGAGCTTAGAATACCTCTAGGTTAGGATGTCCGGAAATCTAGATATCTGTATGTCTTATTTTGCTATGCACTTTACGCTAAACTACCACCTCAAATTCCCTTAATCTTTTTTTATCACAGACCATGGGAACCTATTTTCCTCTCATCATTCTTGTTGTTCTGACATCCCTTGAGATTGTTATTTCTGTTATTCATTCAAAGTGACAGGTGTGAACACCTACATATACATATCGATTGGATGTGAGTTGTTAGAGGTCAACCAACCTTAGCATTGAACATTTTTGGACGGTCCTCGTTTGGTTATTAAGGTCGGGTCATTTTCTTTTTGATTCGATTTTTTGTTTTTTGAAAAATTTCAACAAATTTTCACCAGCTTCGTATCACATTACCTCTCTGGTTTTTGCAGTATGTCTGCACAAAAGTCACCAAATTGATTTCTCAAATAATTTCCTGGGTCACCCCATTTTCTGTTGCCTAGGTTTCCCTCTAAGTGGTTATGCACCAAAATGGCTAAAGTCCCTAGTTGAAACATTTCATCCACCCCCAGATTTTTTGACGAATTTCGGAAATGGGCTAATCCTCCTATCTCTTCATCCTACTCAAAATCATTTTTTAAAAATCCCGTCACTTTCCAATTTCCGTTACTAATTTTGGATTATCCTCTCCATGAGAGATGTGCACTCTTCTATTAGTTCATTTCCATTTTCACTGGTTTGACTCAGCCCTTAGTCGATTCGAAATCCGTCATAATGATAGGTTACATGGCCAGACATGGGTGTGTCTCTAGGAGACAAAATATAATATGTACTTTTAATTTTAGTTCTTGGAATTTTGTGCTTAGACTTTGAGTCTTGTTGAGTTTCCGAGAATTTCTCGTAAAACACGCTTGTTGCAGAGCCTTAAAGGAGGACTGAAGTGCCATTTTTTTATTTTTGATTCCGGTAAATTAGGACATGCTGAACACTTTTTCCTCTTGACGCATATGTTAAAAATCGCTCTGAAACGAGATATACCGCTCTAAAAACATGAAATCCCTTTCTGTGGCCGAAGTTTCTCCGCTACGTGGCCATACGTGGAATTGATTTTCACTGTTTTTTCCACTGAGGAACCTAATAAAATCATCAAAACTGATGGAAAAGCATCTGAGAATAAGGTCCCCAGTGGAAAAAACAGTGAAAATCAATTCCACGTATGGCCACGTAGCGGAGAAACTTCGGCCACAGAAAGGGATTTCATGTTTTTAGAGCGGTATATCTCGTTTCAGAGCGATTTTTGACATATGCGTCAAGAGGAAAAAGTGTTCAGCATGTCCTAATTTACCGGAATCAAAAATAAAAAAATGGCACTTCAGTCCTCCTTTAAAGGCACATGCAGTTACATTTAAGAAGGGTCGCGGCACGATTGAAGGTGTTACTGTACTTTTTTTCAGAATTCCTTTTGTATCTGTTTCTCCTCACTCTCCCTTTCTTACTAGACTACCCTCTTGGACTAGTACGATTTTTTCTTTCAAAAAGAGCCAACACCATATTTCATTTTCCATCATCGCTAGACGTGGAATATGTCTGAGGAGGGTGTGTCCTCCTCTCGAGAAGAAATATACCTTTGGTTTTTTTTCGTTTTGTTATGCAAATGTTGTTTTTCCTAGATATGTATATAGCTGAAAAAGTCTGTTGAAAAATGGACAATAGACTGATTTTCGAATTCTTTCGAAAAGAAAACTGATACTGTATTTTTTTTGTTAGTGTTGATTTTTAAGTTCCAGAATTGCTAGGATGCTATTGTGATAAGCTTGCTCTTCCGAATCGTTTCGATTTAAAACCAGGAATAGACTAGTCTTTTTGAATCCGATGTCTTCAAGACAACCGCGTTAGCCAGTCTAGTAGTCTAAGGAAAACATAATCAAGCTCTGGAAAGGTTTTACTGGAATAGTTTCTGCAAATTCTGAAACCGCTTGGGATGCCTCCATGCAAATATACAGGCTTATGTCACATGCTGTTTTAACTTCATTTTTACGCATTGAGCCAGTTTCTGGAACTAATGAATTAGTGAAGATCATGAAAAATGTAAAGGTTCTAGACTTTTTCTAGGTAGTTGACTGCCGATTTTGACCTGCCGTGGCAGTTTCAGGAGTATGGAAGTTTTGGTAGGGATTGAGAAACGTTTGTGAGAGCGTCGAAGACTTTCTGATTTTTGTAAGCAATTTTAGAGGCTGTAGAAGACGTTGTAGAAGCCAAGGTGTCTGTTTCTGATCTGTAGGTGCCGGATCATATCTGCACACAATTTCCCCCATTTTGACTTTTCTTTTTCTCCAAATTTCCACTATTTTGTAACAAGTCAATGAGCCCATCACACCTCATTCTACATACATCTGGCATAGATCTGAAGGTGAATTGCATCCGACCCGCGCAAAAAGAGTAGAATTGCATTACATTACCATCACCATCATGACCTTTCTTTGTTCCGCCCGTCCCCCCTGCCCACCAGATGTCTTTTTTTTCCAGCACATCCTCCCCTCTCCTTTCTTACATTGAAAAAAGAGGAGTGTAGAAACGTAATTCGAGAAGTGAGTGTATGAGACGGAGGAAGAAGACTTGCCAATGTTTTGTGTTGCATCCTCGTCCTTCTCTCCTCCTTCTATTTTTTGTCCGCCCGTGCCACCCATGGCGGCGCGGCGACGGACGGGGTCGTGTGTGGTGAAGGGGGGTGTTCGGCGAAAACAACAACGTCGTCACTGACATATAAACACTTTTCGTGTGTATCTGAACTCGAGAAGGATAGGAAGAAGATGGAGGAGGAGTGGAGTAGAACTGGCGTTTTTTGAATTTTTTTTGTGGCGGATCTGGTAGGCTTAGGGATTTCCTATAAATTGGTGGTCTGAAAGTAAATGCTCCTGTAAGTGGATTCTGAAATTTCCAACCCTCACTGGATCCTGAGAGTCTGGAAGCCTTCCTCTAACAATCTGACACGCCCCTTGACTTCCGAAGCATTGCCGACATGGCGACATTCAGATCAAGATTTCCAGACTCTCAGGCTCCAGTGTGGGCTGGAAATTTCAGAATCCACTCGCAGGAGCATCTAGAAAATTCCTTATCCATGTGAGAAAAAATTTTCCTTGTAAGGGGATTTCCGACTCATCT